TCCCTCCTCCTACAGCCCTCACCCTCTGTCTCCTGCTGGGTGCTTCTCACAGCCACTGCCCTCAGCTCCCTGCACCCAACCGGCCCCCATGGTCCATTCTCCACTCTACAGACAGGGGGATCCTTGTTAAAATCTAAGTCAGAGGCCAGCAGGTGGCATAGTAGTTAAGGTGGCTGGATCCTACATGACAGACTGAGTGGTTCAAGTCCCAAAACCAGCAACTTGAAAATCACACTGTGGGGGCCAGCAGGTGGCATAGTGGTTGAGGCACTGGACTCCTTGGCTTGAAACTCACACCTGGTGACTTAAAACTCACACCGGGCACATGTGCGTGTGTGCCCAGAATCCCAGGAGGAGAGTGGAGGAGAAAGGATTGTGCTATGCCCATCCCCCCAGGGGGCGACTTCTCACTTTCTGTCTCCCTATCTCTCTCTGTGTCTCCAGAGAGTTCACACACCTTATAGCAAAAAATTCTCTCTAAAAAAAAAAAGAAGAAGAAAGAAAAAGAAAGAAAGAAAAAGAAAGAAAGAAAGAAAGAAAGAAAGAAAGAAAGAAAGAAAGAAAGAAAGAAAAAAGAAAAAAAAAAAAATCACACCAAGCACATGAACATGATCATGACTTGAAAATAAATTGCTGAATTTATCCATAGGAACACAGAAGATAATAAAAATTAGTACAATAAAAATGTTGTAGAACAGAGAAGGAGTCGTGACGTGGCCATCCTCCCTGGGAGGTAACTTCTCACTCTCTCACTCTCTCTCTCTCTCTCTCTCTCTCTCTCTCTCTCTCTCTCTCTGTCTCTCTGGCAAGTGCACACACCCTATAGCAAACTAAAAAACAGAAACCCTAAGTCAGATTCTGTCTCTCCCCCGGGACTTCATCTCACCAGAATAAAACCTAAAGCCTGACTCCTGGAACGCCACTTGCCCAGACCCCCACGCAGCTCTCAGTCTTCTTCAGGTCTCTGCTCCGATGCCGCCTCTTCGGAGAGGCCCTCCTTATCCAGTCCATGTGAAATAGCCACCTTCCTTGAGTCGCCTTCTAGCCCTTCAATGGACATTGTCCTTGTTCGATCCTTAACACTAATCTCTACTTGACCTTCTTTTCTTCTTCTTTTCTTTTCCTTTTTCTTCTCCTTCTTCTTTTCTCCTCTTCCTCCTCTTCTCCTAGTTTTATTTCTTTATTTCTTCCACAAGAAAGAGACACCACCCCAAAAAGGGTCTTGACATCACAATCCACTCCCAGCCTCCTAGCCCTGGGTCATGGGTGCTCCTGTGTCTGTATTCAGGGAGCAATCCGGACACAAACCTGGAACCTTAGCGTGCAGGTCGGTTTCACAGATCGTCGTGCTTTACCGCTGCACTGCTATCCAGCCCCACTACCTGATGTTCTTAAGAGCATCTGTTTTGGTCTATGAGGTCCAAGAGAGCAGGGCCATGCCTGATTTGTTCATAACTGGGTTCTCAGGGCCTAGGACAGTGTCTGACACTTCATAAGTCCCCAGTAGATTTCGGTAGGAAAAAAAAAAAAAAGAAATGCATGAATGGTCTTATCTTTCAGGCCCCTTGTCTCCATTCTGCTCTGCAGTGACACCAAACTGGCACCGAACTGGATCCTGAGCTCCCAGACCCACGACCCTGATTCCCCCAAGACATCTCCCCTCTGAGGACCCATGGCTGTCTCAACTCCAAATCTGCCTGAGACTCAACGTCTCCCTCCCCTCTACATGAGCCCCTCCTGCCCACATCCCTCTGTTTAGGGTGTCACAACACCCAGTCAACAGCTGTCTGTGGCCCCAGGGGTCTCCTCCACTCCACCCCGAGGAGCAGGAGCAGGTCCATCCTTGCTGTCACCTCAGCTTCTCTCGTCAGCGTCCTCTGTCTTCCTGGCTGCTACCCTGGCTCGGGTCTCATCATCACTCCCTTTGGTGCTCCATCACCTCCCACTTGGCTTCCCAGCCCCAAATCTCAAGCTTTCATCCATCTTCAAGTCTCCGGGGGAGGGTGCTTGGAAGCATTGGATGAGTCTACGGGTAGATTTGAACT